ACATCCTGCCACTAATTGGTACATCAGTGTCAAGCCCATGCCTGAAAAGATGACTGTAGAGCCATGGTGAAAAGAAAGTACACTCACTTTTGATTCTAATGGCTTACATATCAGGACTTAAGTGTAATCTAGTCCTAAGCAGGTGCTAGGTAAATACAATCTCAGATGAATTACAAAGCATGGCCTATTACAGCGTATCATTATTTATTTAACAAAACCTAAAACAAAAGGCAGAAAACTGTGGAAAATTTAACTCGTCTGGGAAGTCATATAAGATAATTTTCCATTTAAAAAATGTTGAAGTCCATCACGCTGTAGTGAGAGAGATTTTTCAGAACTGGAAGACACTTAAAACTGTTGCCAGTCTTCCCACAAGTTAATGTCCCGGCAAATTTACCCCAAGGTCAGACCATGTAATGCTCAGAAAAACTAATTCTAATGCTGCACCCAAACTACTCAGGCTATATGAGCCTCAGTAAACATGTTAAATGTTAAAGTTCATGACAGTACATTTACAAAAAAAGCATGAACAAGTATGACTCTTTTAGTGGGGATGCCAGCAAAAAGCCCTTCTCTCTAAAAAGAACATGGCAGCAAAGCTTAGGAGCGATGTCCTTTGGCTAGACAAGATCAAATCAGTGATGCTTGGCCATGATGCAGAGGACCACGTTTACTGAAAACACTCCACTCCACAAACACATGGCCCAACATTGAAAAGCCAAGACTCAGCTGACACCTCCACCAAAAGGACGAGGCTCATGCTCTTGAGGATCATGTGATGACTCACAAGATCAGTAGTAGGTCAACAACACTCAGGGTCACGTCCACAGGGAACAAACCCCACTAGGGGTTAAATACCTGGGACTCTCCACCTTTCATTCACCTCCAACCTCTTGGGTGAGAGGTAAACTTGAAGAAGTCCAGTTGCCTTTTTTTTTAAGCACAGAAGACTAACATGACCTGGATAACTAAGAACCTACACACCTCATCCTCACTGTTAAGCATGTTGGTCGAGTGATGAGTTAGGCTTGCTTTGCAGCTACTGGACTTGGGCACCTTAAAGTAAATACCAAAGTATTCTAGGACAATGAACCCAAGGATAAAAGCAGGTCTACAACAGAATGGCTGAAGAAGAAAAGAA